AGTTGTGTAGCAATGTCAGGCATGCCCTCACTACACAAGTCTGGCAATGGCCTTGTAGGTGTTGATCCCAGGGGGCAGGCCTGGGAGAGGTACAGCTACACAGGGAAGATCTTACTGTGGAGTACCAGCAGGAACCACTTTCCAAAGAGCAAAGCCTCTAACTTCCCACAGTTGACTTTTGCTCCTGAAGCTCTGCCAAAGTTCTCACAGGTGTGGACAAGTGATTCAAAAGAATTCTGGTTAGCACAGAGCACCGTCATGTCATCCATGTACTGTGGACATTTGAATTCCCTTCAGTCTGGACCTGGTGTGGTGAGCCCTCTGATCTCTGGATTTCATTTGATTCTTTCTGCAAAGAGCTTTCTATATAAGAAACAAAAACAAGAGATGAGAGAGTTCAGCCATGCCTGACCCTGGAGAGGACCAAGAAGGATTTAGTTTTCCAGCCATTCATCAACACTGTGCTGCAAATGTCATGGTACATCAGATCAACATACAAACAAAACATTTTCCCAAGACCAAATCTGCAAAGGTCTCTGCACATAAGCCCATTGTAGATTTAGACAAAGGCCTTTTCCTTGTGAAGACTGACCAAGACCATATATACACAGCAGTTTTTGATAAACTGGACCATATCCCAGGTAAGTGCAAGGCTGTCCAAAGTCCTGTGACCATGAATGGCACAAGTGTGATCTGGGTGGATGATCTGTCCAATGATGGTCTATCGCTGGTTGGCAAGGATCGTGTAGTCCAAGTTCAAGAGAGAGATGGGATGCCAATTCTTCAAGTCATTTCTTTCATGCATTCACTTATATAAGATTGTACCCTCTCCAAGTGAAGGAGACATTCTGCCCTCCACTGCCATCAACTTATACAGGTCAAGCAGGTCCGAGCCAATGCAGTCTCACAGTGCTACATACAGCTCCACTGGGAGACTATCAAAGCCCGGGGTCCCATCCATCTAAAGGATGTAGAAGAGTAAAGAAGTGTAAGAAATGTTTTTTACACAAATAACACAAATAATCTACCTTTACAGAATGTCAACAGAAAACTATTGGATGCGATAATAATAATGTATTGGTATACTGACAACCATAGAAATAGACTGATTTGGTTCCACAGCCCTGACCTCCTGTAGCCCTGCCTCATTTCTCCTAGTTTGCAAGGTTGTACTATGACAGGTAAACATTTTTAGAAATGGTGGACTTATTAAAGATCATTTTTATAATTTGTCACAAAAACAAAAGTTAGAAAGTCTAATTGGTAAGAAAATACAGTCCTAATATTCTGTGTTCTATGAGAAAACTGGTCCACCTTTTTTCTAATCCACTAGCACCATAAAATTACAACTGTTAATAAAACAAATGCAAAGCAACTCTGTGTCTAAAATAAAAATGTACACAGGGCTCCCTGCAATGAAGACTTTTGAGTTACTCATTTCTCCTGCCACCTACACTGCCAGTCTCTGCTATACAGACCACTACCCAACAATTCTTTAGGAGCCAGCAATTCTAGTAGTGTTGGTTTCCTAGTCCTCTGTTGCTTTCAGTTTTTCAACCTGCCATCCCCTACATAACTACAAGACTCAGTTGTGGCCCAGGGAAGGTGGAAGAAACTACAATACACAGCAGTGAATCTGGAATTTCAGACCGCTGGAATTGGAGGATTTTAAAGATTCTCCACTATGGTTTCCCTTTATTCCTACAGAGATCCAAGGTATAGGCAGTGGGAGAGGTGAATAACTATCTTCATTTTGGTCCTTTTAAACTTAGCAACAAATTCACCTTTATTTGATAGTGTAAAACTGACTAATGGCCTCTTAGATAAATAGCACTGCTTTAGGAAATTCTGGCTACAACAGTATACAAGCAACTTCATGTTTAAATCTGCCTGAGAATATAAACATTTACTAAGGATTGATAAAAAAAAACTTCATGAACCATTTTCAGTTCCCATCCTTTTCCTTGCCTCTCCCCTCTTTCTTTTCCTGTAGGGATGAGCTTGACCTTCACCTGCCTGAACCTTCAGCTTATGTTTGTGTACAATTCCCTTCCAAATAACAGATCCCTGCTAGCTACTGTTTGCAGGTGATCTGTCATTTAGCAGTACTATTACAACAGTTTATAAATGACAAATCCCCCTGTTTTTGTTTGTAAACAAGTAGGTGGGGATCCTGGGTGATATAATTGACCAAATATGGTCCTCAAGATGTTGATCCACCACCAGACTTCATAACTGGATGGCATGACTGATGTTGGGTTTACTTGTTGTTTATTTTTAAAATAAAAAGGTATTTTTATTTATTTAAAAAGGACATTCACACAATATGTATGGGCAGCCCATACATTTCATTGAGCAGCCCAATGTTTGACAAATGAGGCTAATTAGCTCATTTACTTTTTGAGCTTCAAGCTCTGCATGTGTTTTAAAAGTGCATTTTGACACATTTGTCAAGCTTTTTACATGAAAAAAATGCACATCTGACTGCAACATTTGGGGTGCCGTTAATAATGCATAGCACCACAAGGACAATACGATTTTTATGAACAAAACTCTACAGTTTGAATGCGATCTTATGGTGTGGGTGTTTTAAATTTTTTTTTCATTTTATTTATGTGAATGAAGCTGCATCCACAGTATAGTAGCACTTTATTATTGTTATTATACAGGATTTATATAGCACCAACAGTTTGCTCAGTGCTTTACAATATAACGGGAGACAATACAGTAACAATACAGTTCAATACAAGAGGGATTTGAGGGCCCTGCTCCTTGAAGCTTACAATCTAGGAGATGAAAATGCTTGCAGTGCTATTCAGTCAATCAAAAGTGCTAAAAAAATGTATCATTAAAAAACGGACCAAGCTCAAGCTCAATAAGGTGCATGAGCAACTTTGCCATGTTTGTTGCACTTGGGGCAACCAATTTAAATTAATGTACTGTCCTGTGAATGTAGTGTGACAATGTTCAAAAAAGTGCATATACATGACACCTGACATCATGCAACATAGTGTGAATGGGGCCTTAAGACTAAGGGATACTATTTATCCCGTATTCTTTCACATGAGGGGGTTTTCATATTGTGATAAGTCCCTCCCACAAACCTCATCATTCCTTTGCAGACAAGGTATCTAGCAAGGGGGTGAGTCTTTGCTTCCCTCCTGAATGGTATGTTCCCAATGTTACCCTCTTTCCTGGCCACTTAGGCTGCCTGCCTCTATAAGGGTCATTTATACATTTTTAGGGGGCCATTATATTTATTTTTCTCAAAGGGCTCGCACATTATTTAAAAAAATGAAATGGGGTCTCTCCAAAAAATGTGTAAAAGGCCCTTATTCAGACAGGCAGCCTAAGTGGCCAGGAAAGTGTGTGTGTGAAGAAGCAAGCATGCCCCCCCCCCCTCCTTCTCAACCAATCCTACCCACAGCTAGGGTAGCCGGGAAAGAGTAGAGCTGTAAGAGTGCTAACTCATTTCTACTGAACCATACCAGGCCACTTGCCCTCAACATAGAGAGAGTACCTTGCAAGAGGGAAAAGAGACACCCTCGTTTCAAAGCACTATGTCCCCATGTTAATGGAGATGAGGGCCTCATCCTCACAATGTGTCCTAGAAAAGGGATGTGAGGAGTCTTTGGGGGGACTTATCAGAAGTCTTATTTACAATAAATTGGCCTCCAGATTCCCCCTCAGGCAAATTACTAAGGGGTACATAGCATATCCCTTTTTACTCATTCACCAATAATTCTAAATAGTAAAAAAAAAAAAAAACATGCTGTGAAAAGTTCTTTTAACCCCTTTGCCTCTCTACCTGTTCACCCCCAATCTACCAAAGCAATATTTACAATTTTGCTAAGAGCCTGTTTGTTTGGTGCTAAATTTGTTATTACTTAAGATAACAAGGTAACACATAGTTTTTTTTTAACAAGGAAAAACTTTATTTTTGTGCTATTGTCTTTCAATAATGATTTTTTCACGATCCTTAGACAATAAAAATGTAACAAAACTAAACAAAATGCACATCTTCTTTTATTTTGAGCAGTGTTAGTTTAAAAAGAAATAGTGTTACTACAGATAAAAAGAGCACATTTTATTGTGTCATTTGTCCAATTTAATATGCACCTAGTATACCATTACCAAGGTTTATGTAAAAAAGTGACATTTTATCTGCTATGTTTTATAACAGGAAGTAAGGGAAATAGTTTTTTTGACAAATGTTTCCCTTATATGTAAAAAATGAGAACCCCAATGGTTGTCTGAAAACATGTTATTAAATTCATTAGGGTACAGTGTTGCCATGACCACGTAATTGTCAGTCAAAGTATCACAGCTCTGAAAACTAAAAATGCCCTGGTAACAAAGGGATTGAAACATGCCATTATTGAGGTAGTAAACGATTTGTGTAACTTAATGTTACTCTTTAAGTTACAGTAAAATTCCCCCCTCCCCCTATTTTTTAATTGCATTGGTACATGTCCCTGTGGCAATGCCCAGCTATTCCATGCCCTTTATTAACCACTAGCCTACAGGGCACTTATACCCCCTTCCTGCCCAGGCCAATTTCCAGCTTTCAGCGCTGTCACACTTTGACAATTGCGCAGTCATGCAACACTGTACCCATATTAAGTTTTTATAATTTTTTTGAGACAGATAGAGCTTTATTTTGGTGGTATTAAATCACCTCTGGGATTTTTATTTTTTCTTAAACAAACCAAAAACCACTGAAAATTTAGAAAAAAAAATGTTTTTTCTTAGTTTTGTTATACAATTTTGTAAATAAGTGATTTTTCTCCTTCACTGATGTGCACAAATGAGCTGCAGTGATGGGCACTGATAGGCTGCACTGATGGACACAGGTGGCACTGATGGGCACTGATGAGGAGGCACTGGTAGGTTGCAGTGATGGGCATTGACAGGCATCACTGATGGGCACTGAAAGGCAGCACTGATACATGACACTGATACATGACACTGATATATGGCACTGATAGGCAGCACTGACTGGCACTGATAGGCGGCACTGACTGGCAATGTTAGGCGGCACTGACTGGCACTGTTAGGCGGCACTGACTGGCACTGATAGGCGGCACTGATAGGCGACACTGACTGGCACTGATAGGTGGCATGATTGGCAGCACTGATAGGTGGCACTGATTGGCATTGATAGGTGGCACTGACTGGCACTGATGGGTGACATTGAAAGGCAGCTCAGATGGGCACTGATATGTGGCATTGATGTGCACTGGTATGCCCTGATATGTGGCATTGATGTGGCACTGATGGGCACTGGCACGTGGCACTGATGGGCACTGACAGGTGTTACTTCTGGGGCCACACTGATCATCAGGGCACACTGATCATCAGTGCCCTGATGATCAGTGTACATGTCCCCTCCGCGGAAAGCCGATTACCGGCTCTCCTCTCCTCTCTCGAGCTGTCAGCCTGCTGTCTCGAGCTGTCAGCGTGACAGCTCGAGAGGAGAGAAATGCCGATAACCGGCATTTCCGTATTTATATGTGATCAGCTGTGATTGGACACAGCTGATCACATGACCGAGCCGTCATCTTTGGCTCTTTCCGTGATCCACTGTGTCTGAGGGACACAGCGCACTGGTGATCGCCGCGCTGCGCGCTCCCTGAGCCACGCAATACGCAGTGAGAATGGTAGGACGTCATATGACGTCCTATCAGAACGAGAGAACCACCTTGCGCCTGTCATTGTACTATAGGGCGGGCGGAAGGTGGTTAAACAAAAGCTTGCAACTTGGCCTTTAAAAAGACAATATATGATTCAGCTGTAATAAATTTCAATTGGGTTTAGTGCTATAATTGTGTTTACTGTACTTTTTACTGGGTTTGTTGAACTGCCTGTCAGCTGGGGCGGACTGACCATTTGGAAACTTGGGCTCTGCTCAAGGGCCCGGGGTCAGTAGGGGGCCCCCTGAGATGCCCCTGGTACTTTTTTCATAGGCTTTTTTGAGTTTGGGCAAGGAAACAGGGGCCCCATGATCCCCTATTGCCCTGGCGCCCCATGAGTTGTCAGTCCGCCCCTGTGCCTGTAAATTGAACTTTGCTGGGTTTTAACCATCTCTACATTCTTGTTAATAGTCTTTCTTTCTGTACAATCCCCCATTCTGATGCTAGCTTTCTGTAAGCTTGCTTATTGCTCCCAATAAACAAAGGTCCATTATACTCTCTTATTAAAGTCTAAGTTCACCTTTTGTAAAACAAAAAGTAATAATAAAAATAAATGCACATGATTTTGCAAGTAAAATAATTAGCATTTAGTATTTTTACACCTAAGTTTGCAGAGCATTGCACCCATGATCAGTAAATATACGTCATCCAGCCTTTTCCGGTTAGGGCTAGTAGCACGCCACTCCTGTGACTGTTGTGTCAACCAAACACAGCAGATTACATTTAACAGTAATCAGGTACCAGGTATCATGTGATCAGTATGATTGGTCATAGCGATTACATGATAACAATGTAAACAAATTTTCATGAATAGATTTCCATTCATGAACAGGTTGCTTTTGGTTGTGATCTATGATTGGCCCACAACAAACACTTGGTACCTGGTTACCTTTACCAAGCAATAACAGTGTAAAAAAATCCATGATCACCCCCCCAAAGTTGTAAGGTGTCACTATTATTTAATTTAATTTTTTCCATACTGTCACCAGTAAGTAGCCTGATCAGTAGCCTGATCACTGCCACACCATATGATGACATTATACTGTGCTGGTGACAGTACATAAAAACAAATGAAAAAAAAAATTGATGTAATTTCTTCATTTTACAAAACATTGTGACAAAAAAATTACAACTTCTAAGAACTCACCATGCCTCTTACTAAATACCTCAGACTATCTACATTCCAAAAAGGAGTCATGGGGGGGGGGGGGGGGTATATTGTGCTGTCCTGGCATTTTAAGGGCCTCATTTAGATCAGTACATCAACATTGATCAATTATCAGATATATATACCCTAGTTTGTAGACTATAACTTTCACACAAACTAAATAATATACCCTAATTTGGGTTATTTTGACCAAAGTGGTGTAGCGGACTATATTTTGGCCTAAATTTATGAAGAAAGTTGATGTAAACTGAAAAATTATATAAATTTTCTTTGGGTAGAGTGTTGCATGACCAAGCAATTGCCAGTTAAAGTAGCACAATGCTGAATAACGAAAATTGCCCTGGTCACGAAGGGGATAAAAGCTTCCGGAGATCAAGTGGTTAATGTAATATCTATGTAGCATGGTTATTTAAAAAAAGCTAGAAAAAAAAAACCAAAACAGTTATTTGAAAATATGCTGTACCTTTTTTGTGTATGTACCTTATTGCAGTAGCTATTATTATTTGGTACCACCAATATTAAAATGGGAGCTGCCTATGGAGGCTGTACAAATAACCAAGATCATTTTTGCTATCCAGTTCATGTAAGAAGTAAATTCTACGTAGTTTAGACAAAACTCTTGCTGTCCCAACGACCGAACATTTACCATTTTTCAGGAGCAGAACGTCATATATAATAGTGGTATTACTTCCTCTATTATACATGACAACTTTCCGCTGTCAATGGTTGTTAAAGGATAAGTTTACCTTTTGTAACATGTTACATGCTACACCCATATTCAGGGTGTAGCATGTAACATGTTACAAATGGACCGGACTATGCACCCCCCCGATCCTCCGTGGTGACAGCTAGCAGAGGATCTTTTCCCTCCACTAGCTGTCAAAATTTATAAAAAAAAACTTGGCTGTGTGGTGCTCTGGCCGCATCACTCATTCACAGTACTCTGTGATTGAGAAATCTACGAATTCCGACAGCCTTCAGCTTGTAGTTTTCAATGATCCACCTACAGCTTCAGAAACAAAAAATAGTCAATGCACATTTTTTTTACCTGCAAAAAAATGTGCATTTATTATTTTTTTTGTTAAAAGATGAACTTATCCTTTAAAGAAGCTAGCGGGGGCAGGTACCACCAAGTCCTTAACAACCAGTAATGCCAGTGGCCGCATTCACTCATATGGCCGGGAATCTTGATACCAGATGTATTTTTTTTTTCATTCTTTCTGGCAAAAGCGACAGTTATTAGGAAAAAGATGCAGTTTAATTTGCTGCCAAATGACATCTCATTGCTGGCTTCTTAAAAAGAAAAAAAACAGCACACAAACTCCTCCAAAGTTCCCCTAAAATACATATCAGAATCTTGGAGGAGTCTGTATGCTGTTTTTTTTTGTTTTTTTTTTTTTTTTTAAACAAAAAAGCTGTCAATGACACGTCATTTGCTGGCAATTTTAAACACTTTTTTTCTTTGTAAATGTTAGTGCTGCTGCACTTTATATCACAGAGATGTTTCCCTTAAAAGGCAGGATTAGGGCACCTCTCATCACATGTTACATAAAGGAATTGGGCATTTTTAATGTTCCACTTCAAATATTTAAAATTCACTGCTCCTGGCCAAATAGTATTTCTTAAACTTTTTTTTTCAATATTTCGCAAGGCAGTACCCACCCTCATGCTATTTTTTTGACAACTACTTGCCCATTAATCCAGAAAATGGGCAATTATGATTTGACAGATTTACCGTATTTTTCGCTCCACAACACGCAGTTTTTTCCCTCAAGGAAATGGGGGGAAAATGTCTGCTCGTCTTAGGAAGCGAATATGGAGCGGCCAGCCTGGTATTCCCGCCACTGCTGTGTTAGAATACTGGGCCGGCCGCTCGGCTCTTCTGTGCAGCAGAACCTGCTCCTCGGTCCTATCTGTTCCTCGGTCCAGCAGTGTCCTCACCGTATTCTCTCCCTGGCACTGGCATCTTTCGTGTGGGCACTCGGCTGTGACAGCTTGCGGCTTCACAGCCAGGTGCCCACTGCACATGCACGAGAAGCGCTGCGCTTTGTGAATGGTCCAGCAGTCTTCTGTGTTCTGTCACGTGTCCTAGAAGAAAGGGAGGGAGGACAACTCCGTGGAAGTGGGAGCGGGTACCTGTCAAATTTGGGTATCCTCCCCCCTCCCCAAAGGTCTGCAGTCTCTGATCATCTCCTGCACTATGTCCGCAGTCTCTGGTCATCTCCTGTACTATGTCCGCAGTCTCTGGTCATCTCCTGTACTATGTCCGCATTCTCTGGTCATCTCCTGAACTATATCCGCAGTCTCTGGTCATCTCCTGTACTACGTCCGCAGTCTCTGGTCATCTACTGTACTATGTCCGCAGTCTCTGGTCATCTCCTGTACTATGTCTGCAGTCCCTGGTCATCTCCTGTACTGTGTCCGCAGTCTCTGGTCATCTCCTGACAATGTGTCCGCAGTCTCTGGTCATCTCCTGTACTATGTCCGCAGTCTCTGGTCATCTCCTGTACTGTGTTCGCAGTCTCTGGTCATCTCCTGTACTATGTCCGCAGTCTCTGGTCATCTCCTGTACTATGTCCGCAGTCTCTGGTCATCTCCTGTACTATGTCCGCAGTCTCTGGTCATCTCCTGTACTGTCCACAGTCTCTGGTCATCTCCTGTATTGTCCGCAGTCTCTGGTCATCTCCTGTACTATGTCCGCAGTCTCTGGTCATCTCCTGTACTATATTTGCAGTCTCTGGTCATTTCCTGTACTATGTCTGCAGTCTCTGGTCATCCTCCTGTACTATGTCCGCAGTCTCTGGTCACCTGCTGACAATGTGTCCGAAGTCTCTGGCCATCTCCTGTACTATGTCCGCAGTCTCTGGTCATCTCCTGTACTATGTCCGCAGTCTCTGGTCATCTCCTGTACTATATCTGTAGTCTCTGGTCATCTCCTGTACTATGTCTGCAGTCCCTGGTCATCTCCTGTACTGTGTCCGCAGTCTCTGGTCATCTCCTGACAATGTGTCCGCAGTCTCTGGTCATCTCCTGTACTATGTCCGCAGTCTCTGGTCATCTCCTGTACTATGTATGCAGTCTCTGGTCATCTCCTGTACTATATTTGCAGTCTCTGGTCATTTCCTGTACTATTTATACAAGAAAACTTATTCCTGCGCCAAAACTTTCCAAATAACACTCTAAAAATGCTGCTGTGCCAATCGTGAAAACACAAACAATATAAATATAAATAAACAGCGCAAATTTAGATGATTAATCAATATAATAAATCATATAAAATAGGTGCATAAATTATTCGTGTTTGCCCTTAATCTTAAACAAAAACACCCAAAAGTCCATGTGCTGAAAACATAATTAAAATTGTTGAAATAAAAGTGCAAACTTCTTTTCTTCAAAAAAATACTTTCACCTTCCACCCGTGCACAAACCAACATCGAATACACTCACCAGACACTTGGTGAGTAAAAGACCTTTAAGGAATTTTTTTAGGGATCCTAAACCCTCTTTGGTGCCATGCTAGGGAAAATCTTCACCCTCCGAATAGACTCCACCATCCAACCAAAAGAGAAAAAAACTCACATAGCATAATATTGTCACACAATAGTAACTTTTTCCAATGAAGATTAAGGCCACTCACATGTTAAAAACACTTGCTAAAGGCATGTTTATTATGTATAAAAGGCTTCAGTTCCCAGCAGTATATACAAACTTTTCCTTCCAGGACTCTGACATCCACAGTGGAACAAAGACAGGACTCCTCTTAGACCAAACAGTGAACCAAGA